AAAAATATCACCATTGAAATCTTAGAGACTCTTAATTCATCATTTTAGTTCTAATCATACAAACACTTGAACTTCAAAAATGTAACAAGAACGATGAACTTAAAAGGATATCTGTTCTATCAACTTCCACATATTTAGGATAAGTGTCGACTCCTTACATTTCATTTGTATTACGCAACTACAGACGCCCTATAGAAATATCGTCTGCGCCTTTTAAACCTCATTCAAAATCCCTGACGAAATTCTATTGTTTGTTTTTTTCTCACTGGAACACAGCTAGTGTTTCATATATCTTTTTAATGTTGTTTTCGTTTCGCACAGTAACCAAAGCAGCATGAACATCAAATACAATGTATTGTTATTACTAATGAATTATCTCACAATGAAATAATGTGATTTAAAATGTCAAGCATGAAGCGTAATGTTATATTTTATTATTCGAGGCTTACGCAACGGAAATAAAATTACACAAGAAAAGCATTGATGCAAAGCATCAAAGGGCGACGCCAAAAGAATTTGATCCAGGTTTGCACCTAAATACTTAACAAAAGATGTGTACTTTATAGCAGTACCATTTCATGTGACCTGGAGGCTTGGCCCAGTTTATGTTGAAACTTAAACCAAAAAGAATAGACTCTGTCTTGCCAAGATGCAAAGACAATTTATAGTCAATAAACCAATCTTAAGATTTACTTTACCAGATACAAGGATACCTGAGTCATCATCATATATAATGACAGGCACAAGTATCACACCTGGGAAGAAAAAATATGACCAGATTAATAAAAAATCTGTGTTCATCTTAAAAGTGTCAAAAAACCAAAAAAAAATATGTAAATAATGACCCCCTTTAAAAATATGCTATTAACTTTAAGTATATTTTTAAAGGGGGGTCATCATTTACATTTTTTTTTTGGTTTTGTGACACTTTTAAGATGAACACAGGTTTTTTTTATCAATCTGGTAATATTTTTTCTTCCCAGGTCTGATACTTGTGCCTGTGCATATAATAAAAGCTTATTGCTTAGGGTTGCAGACATGTCATTGACATATATTAGACATAAAAGAGGACCTAAAATGAACATCAGGGGGACACCATAGATATTCAGAGAGAACGAGTACCAGCCACATTCACCAGCTGCTATCAGAGATAAGACTTGAACCATGCAAGAATGTCATTACATATGGCAGATGCTTGAAGTTCCATGAAGAAGAAGAAAAAAGAACTTCTTCATGTGCAGTATAGTGTGATCAACTGTACCAAATGCTTTTTGTAGATTTAAAAGTATCACGCAATACTGCAATCTATTAAATGCAATCTATTAAATGAATCAAACATGTGTCAGTTGAAAAACCACTTCTAAACCCTGATTAAAACTGCCTGACCATGACTCGAACCCATGACTTTCAGAAGACCAACTGAGCTATCCGGCCGGCTACACATTTTCTCTTTATTAATGAAACAGTTCTAAACCTAAACATTTTTCCCCACTATATTGATTCATGTACTTGAATTTCTGATGTTTACAGAGCATCGTAAATTAAACTAATGGTTATTTGCAGTAACAGGATGAGAAAAACTTTCAGCTTGACCAGAACTCAAACCTGTGACCCACAGAATAATGTACCGCGGCTGTAGCGATTGAGCTATCTGGCCGCTTACACATTTTCTCCCCTAAATAGTGAACAGTTCTAAACCGTGACAGATATTTAGATTTTTAAATTAACAGATAATTAATTCTTAATTAATAAATAAGAAAAAAAAACCTTACATACTCATAGTCTTTATATAATTAAAATAACAATTTATATAATTATTATTGTATAATTATTTTTACTAAAAAGGGCTAAGACAGTTATTGAATGTGCCATTATTTATAACAGGTCAATTTGAAAGTGAATATAACTGCATGCTTATACATGTACAATATCTATGATAAGAAATTTTATGAAGGCTGATTTGTATTTTACATCAAGGGCACCGGGCGAAAACATGAAAATGCAACAAATGAACCACTTTGTGGTAGATTGTATTTTCATGTTTTCATCTGGCGCCCGGTTACTTTTTGTACTTTGTTGGTTTTCATGTGGCACAAATCACCCACTATAAAATTTAGTGTACAAATTTATTCAAGGACTAGTAACAATCTACTATCTAATGTAAAGTCTGTTGTCGGGTTGACTCAGAGACCTGGAGGTTGAGACCGGTGGTCCCTCCATTACAAATAGATAAGTCAGAAGCTGTCCTTTTCAAATTGCACATTTTTTAAAAAAAAATTAGAAAAACTATTCGAACTGTTTTTTTTGGGGCTTTATCAATTATATTGCTGATCCAGTTTCGGACATTTTCAATCAATAATTATAATTTTATAACAATGAAGTTCTCCCCCTTTAAAAATAAGACTAAATGAAATCTTTAAAATTTAGAAAATTTATAAAATTTCATCATCCAAAATAAAATAAAATGATGCACTTTAAAATTATATTTCCAGTTTTTATTAAAAAAAATGAATTTTTTGGGGTTTTAAAACCCGTAAAAGAATATATCAATTTTTCCCCTCTCAGGGGGTCTTGCTTTTGAGACCTTACAACGGTAAATTTTTTTAAAAAAAATTGTAAATAATACCTAAAATTTGATGGGCGAAAAAACAATAATTTGTAAACATGAGTTACTTCCCCTTGAAATAAAGAAAACATGAAACCAAAAGAACACCCTAAACATCAAAATTAAGAAATGTTGCAGGCTCATTTTAATTATGCCATGCAAATTAATGGTAAAGAATTCATAAAAAGTAGATGGCCATGTGACAGCAGTAATTGCAGAAAATCGGATAGCTGTCAACATCCGGATACTGGTACACTTTGTAAAAACAACCATTCTGTTCAACAGATAAACGTAATATGGATAAAATCAATAGGATAATCGTTTACAAACAGTCCATTACCTATCCTAATACTCATTTGCAGGTGAACTTTCTTCTTGTAGGAAAGTTTTGAAAATATATAAATGAATGAGCATCAATGTAGACCACAACGATATTCGAAATCCGGGTTTTAGTATTGTCAATAAAACAAAGGGACAAGCTGTTAATCAGAGCCTGCAATTTCGTGAAAATTATATCACAATGCACATGCTTTTTATATAAAGTTATTAAATACAAATATAACAACATATTTGTTTACTTGATTTTTACGAATCAAAATAAATATAATTAACACAACATGAAATTAACTGCTAATAATAACAGCTCCTTCCATAGGCAAAAATAAAAAGCATTCCATATAAGACGACGCCGCTGCCAGCCCGCATAGCTCAATCGGTTAGAGCGCGAGACTTGTAATCTCGACATTGTGGGTTCGATTCCCGGGCTGGCCAACTAAAATTACTAATCAGTCTTTCGGATGAGACTTTAAATCGAGGTCCCGTGTATGGGTGCTTAAACACTTGGCACGCTAAAGAACCAGGAGAAGCTTCTGGAATTGGGGCATCTTTCTGTATCTGTAATTGCACTATCCTCCAAAAATCTAAAATGACTAATACCCTTCTGGGGGACTCGCCCATATGGGCAACCGGTGGCGAGTATAAATAAACGCAAATACACACACACACGACGCCGCTCACCGGCGTCGCCAATAATTATAACTCAATGAATCAAAGCTATAAATCTAAACCACATACAATATGCTCTGAAATAATAGCTGAAAAGAACATTCATAAAGCGATAATAGCTGAAAAGAACATTCATAAAGCGATACGAATGTTTGAAATTTTGAATAATTGAAGTGAAAAATGATGCTTCTGTAAATGTACCATCCTGAAACTATCGTAAACAAGAGCAGAGATATTTGTTAAATGTTATACACGTATCGCCCACAAACTTAACAGGAAACCAGTTAGTCATGTTTAGCGGACTTTATGAACATCTAACTTAAATTTAATGCAAATAATACAATCTATAATTTAAACACATTTTTATTACAATCAAGTTCTTCTGGTAAAGTCACCATGGAAACTAAATTGAAAATGGTTACTAATAGAACTGAACAATCTCCACACCAAATCTTAAAACTGTAGACCAAAGCACGGATTTATATTATTGTAATATAAATCCGTGACCGAAGTGAGCTTTTAGTGTTAAGGGTCGACCATATTTATCCCGTGACCTTTGACTGAGACAAAGCAAAATAGCAGCCAACAACATTCACATCAAATCTTGACCTTTGACCAACTGACCCTAAGATCAATAGAAGTCATTAACTAGCCAAGACAAAAATGTCCATACCAAATCTTAGGATCAAGGTGTTCGATCAAGGTGCCCTCTTTTCGAAGATGAACCGAAGGACTCTGAGCATAGCAATATACCCGAATTCTTCAAAAGTAGGGTATAATCATATCAATATTAATTACAATTACACATGATGACAGAATTACTTCTATGATTCAAACATATGTAGAATTTACAAATCTACACAAATTTGCTACCACACATCAAGAAATGACAATGTAGACTAATTGTTAACTGTTTTATTAAAATTCAACATTGTGTAGATATATAAGAGATCATAATTAATATAAGAATTAAATAATGAAAGATAAACAAACAAAAATATCACTACATGTATAACGTTAGTAAAAAGTTCATCACAATCAGCAATATTTTTTAATTGGACAAATAAAACATTCCAGGTCACTTTCATAATAAAGACAATACAGTATACTCTCAGAATTACAATTAATAAAATCTGAAAGAAATCAAAATTCATAAATTAAAAAGTTTGTAAATATTTACAATGAAACTTTTAGCACTTATTACACTATGTCGAATAGGTCAGAATTTAGCATTTTCATCTCCTAAAATTTACATCATTTATGACTGCTTATATTTTAACGACATATAAAATACTAAGTTGCCCTAGGCTAGGTTGTACTAGATGTGTATCCTTCGCAGCATATAAAAAGGCCTGCAGCTTTAATCAAATTTCTATTCGTTTTTCTTAACACATATAGCTGGGCAGTAAGTTTGACTGCATTAACAAAACTAGTTTCTATTAGGTGCCTATTTAATCTATTTTTAACAAAGCCCTAGTATCAAACAAGAGCGATCAGTGATCACATGTGTCGCCTCATGATGGCCAATTTCATGTTGGGACAAGTTTTGTGACAGACAGATAGACAGACGGACAGTGCACAACTAGACTTGGTACTGATCATTCCTGTAAAGTTTGGATAAAATTACACCAGTAGTTTATGAGGAGTAGTCCGGACAAGCTTTTGTGTATCTGGCAACACAGAAAAAAACACCTGTTCATCAAAGGGCCATAAATCGGCCAAAAATCATTCAACCGGAAAACCCGTGCAATATGCGCAAGGACTTGAGCTACAGATCAATCCTGTAAAGTTTCATTGAAACTGCATTAGTGGTATAAGAGAAGTAGTCCGGACAAACTTTGAAAGTAAAAATTATTAAAGGTCCATAACTCTAACAAAAATCATTGAACCGGAAAATGCTGACTATATGCACAACTAGACTTGGTACTGATCATTCCTGTAAAGTTTGGATGAAATTGCACCAGTAGTTTATGAGGAGTAGTCCGGACAAGCTTTTGTGTATCTGGCAACACACAAAAGGGCCATAACTCGGCCAAAAATCATTCAACCGGAAAACCCGTGCAATATGCGCAAGGACTTGAGCTACAGATCAATCCTGTAAAGTTTCATTGAAATCGCATTAGTGGTATAAGAGAAGTAGTCCGGACAAACTTCACAGTATATAAACGATTTGAACCCCAACCGGATCTTGTGAGAAGATCTCAGCATCTAAACGTACAATCGGGCGGGATGACACATTAAACTATCAAAAATCGGCTTGAATTTAATATGTTACGGTATGTTCACATTTGAATCATATTAACAAATAATTTATCTTTGCTTAAATATACATCCATAACCTTCTTCGTAAAATATATGCGCATAAAACGCTGTGCTCTTCGCCTCATGTTTTGTTTATGTCAACACACGCCGATTACACAAGCAAATTTATGCCTAAAATTGTTTTACTTCACTATAACTCATATCTGAGTCTTTAATTTATTGTCTTAGCCTCATGTTACCGGACAGACACTTGTGAAAATATCTTTGAATATTGATAAAATATAGTAAATAATAGAGGCGACATTTCTGATAACTGTACCCGTCTTGCTAAAACAATTTTAATGATCTGTACCCTACTTGTGTTTTAACTGAACCATTACTTGCGAGTCACTTTTGATGATTTTTATTGTGTTTTTGTCGTATGTTCCAAATTTTATTGTGCAGAATATGAAGTTATTGTGTCACAAGAGAAGGGTACATGTTTTAGTTCTATGTAAGTAACTAAAACTGCATATGAATGGAGGAGCTTCGTCATGTTTTCACTGTCTACGAAAATACCGGCATTTCAGTGGCTGTTTATACGAATCAGAAAGTCAATTATTTCTTGATAGGAATAATTAACTAACAAACCTCATCTTTACTTACCATTCATTTTTCTTTGGAAAGATATAAATGTAAAATATTACATATGTACTATAATTTTTTATATTTATTTCAACCGCATTGTTGTAAGTTTTGACGTGACCGTTATATTATTAGTTATAAAGATCGTTGGCTGGTTATATGGCCCTATATAAACGGCTATTTGTAAATATAACCCGAGCCGTTAGGCAAGGGTAATATTGCAAACAGCCGTTTATATACGGTCATATAACCTGTCAACAATCTTTATTACGAATTTATAATACAGCTAGCATTATTTTTAGAGAAAAAAGTAAGATTTCTTCATGAATCGACAGCAGCCGTGTATATAAAACTATATAAACGTCACGATTATCCAATGAAAAATGACGTTACAAACGTGCAGTATTATAAAACGTCACGTATCAATAAACCTCGAAATATCATTACAAGATTTTTTTGCAGATTACTTATTTCAACATGTTGAAAGCTTTACACCTACCGTTGATTTCATTCTGCTTTTTTTAAACACTGTTTTATATTATCTGAAATTCATTGACTTTCTTTTTCTGACATGTACGACTTTTTTTCTTGTATATCTTTCATAGGCGTCGACAATTTTGGCATCTTTTTAAACGGAGAATATTCGGGAAATTTTGAAATTTTAATTGTAAGTGTTTCAGCTATTGGTGTTATAAACTTTTTTTTTGTTTCGGTTATTGGCTGTGACGCTGAAATTTTTTAAGTAGGAGATTTTATTCTGATCATTATTTATTCTTATTTTCAAGTTGCAGTCTGGATGGCGAATAATTATGTGGTCAATGATGGCATTGAAATTCGTAGTCTTTACTGAACAGTATATGCAGTTGTATTCTTCCATGGTGATCCGAAAGAAAAATATACATAGCATAATATATTTTATTAAACAAATGATTAACAATATTATCAGTTAAACCAATTCTCGGTAAATACCTTAGATCCCACCTTATATACTAAAATTCTATTACAATCATTTATATTTTCTGGCAATAATTGATACAAAATCGCAATGAACGTAAACTTTTTCTCCAATAAATCTTTAAAAATACTCACAAGTCAGGGTACAGATAAAATTCGTAAACTCACAAGTAGGGTTCACAATCACCAGCAAGTAACGTTCAGTTTACGGAAATGACCTCCTTGGTAAAACTCTTAAATTTATGTTCAAGATACAGCAATATGTTATGCATATGACTAAATTATCGTTTGTTATTGATTACTTTAGTAGTTCGATATCACAATTCAATGTTTAACTAAATCAACATTGGAATAAGACAGATTTTTGTTCGTGTTCAGTGCTGATCACCTGAAAGCTGTTCGTGAGTTTTGATTATTTTATAGCCTTCGTGCTACCGTTTATGTTTTGCATAACTTAGACGTTTAATAAAGTTTCTCTCTTATAATATAAATATAGATTTACTAACCTAACGTCCATCAGTATCAATATAAATACCAATATCGTAAACAAGTGAAGTGGCAGAATATGGCTGACACTAAAATCTTCTCACAAGATCCGGTTGGGGTTCAAATCGTTTATATACTGTGAACTTTAAAAATAAAAATTATTAAAGGGCCATAACTCTGACAAAAATCATTGAACCGGAAAATGCTGACTATATGCACAACTAGACTTGGTACTGATCATCCCTGTAAAGTTTGGATGAAATTACACCAGTAGTTTATGAGGAGTAGTCCGGACAAGTTTTGTGACGGACGGACAGACAGACGACGGAGAAGTGATCCCTATATGTCGCCACTACTCCGTAGAGGCGACACAATGAATGCATATTTTTATGATACTGCTTTGAAAGTTAAGTTAATTTTTTGTCCATTCACAAGTTTATTGAGCATAGTGTTGGACCCGCCTGTCTTTAAATTTTTAACTTGATGAGTGACTTGGTGCCTCCCTGCCTCCTCCAAACTTGACCGCACTGTCATAATGTTAGAGAAAGCTCCCTCGCTGATCTGTAAACAATGAGAAGACTACAAATGTCTGCAAGGCCACAAATCAATATTTAAAGAAGCTCAGAACTGAGTGTAAATGTATTGTTTCTCAATAAAACATGAACTTTGCTTGATTTGATATTTGATGAATCAATCAAGATTTTTTTAATAACTTTAGGTTAAAAAATATTCATTTCTTTTACACTGTTTATTGTTCATGTGTGTGATGACAAAATTAAAATCTTACTTTAGGTGCAAGCTTTGATCGGGAAGTTGGTATTTTGCTCAGTCGTTTCTTGTTTTCATCTGGCTTAGACAATATAACTGAAATTAGAATGTTTTAAATCATTCAAAACAATTCCACACGGAAGGTGCATACATTTCCTTATACAAAAATCGTCAATGTACTTTTTCTATAAAATATTTCTGTGGCAGACATACATTACTGGCACTAGTACTGCAGTCATTATGCAAAAACTGATACTGAATTACTGTCTCAGAAAAGTGGTACTAGTACTAGAGGCAGTTGTGAAGTTTTGACAAACATGCCAACATTTTTTCTGAAAGAGATACTAGTAGCTGGTCAATTTCAGGAATTATTTTTATTTCTTTTTCAAGAAAGAGCAAACTTTTTAATGCAATGTCACTTCTATGCTGACGATTCTCAAATATACATTTCTTTCAAACCGTTGGACAACACCAAAACTGAACTTGTACTTGATTCTGTCTCAAACTGCTTAAAAGAAATAACATTCTGGATGAACAGCAACATTCTCAAACTGAATTCAGACAAAACAGAACTTATAGTCTTTTCGTCGGGTAGCAATACAGACTCAGTGAAAAATATAACTGTCAATGTGGACCAAGCTGAAATCAAACAGTCATCAAGTGTAAGGAATTTGGGTGCATTCCTTGATTCAAGGGTTAATATGGAACATCATGTTAGCTCCGTGTGCAGATCTTCGTATGCCCAAAAAGTAAGATAGGACGTATTCGAAAATATATCAACGAAGAAGCTACAAAAACACTCGTTAACTCTCTCGTGACATCAAGACTGGATTATTGCAATGCTCTTCTATATGGTATACCTCAACAAACCATGAAAAAACTTCAACTTGTTCAAAATACTTCAGCCCGTGTGATTAAACGTACATCTAGGAAAGATCATATTACACCAGTGATGAAAGATCTTCATTGGCTGCCAATCGAATATAGAGTGAATTACAAGATCTTATTACATACTTTCAAGTCACTGAAACAACAATCTCCATCATATATGCAGGAAATGATTCAAGTTTATTCCACTTCCCGAAATCTGCGCTCTTCAAATGCACCTGTACGATTAGTGCAACCAAAAACTAAACTGAAATTTGGTGAAAGGAGTTTTTCGGCATCAGCTCCTAAGCTATGGAATTCACTACCAAGTCATCTAAAAAACTGTAACACAGTAGAAAGTTTCAAAAAACATCTTAAAACACACTACTTCAATTTAGCTTATGGAAAATAATCAGTGACTATTATGAATGAATTTTATAAACAGTGAATACGAAGTATCTGTTATTTGAATATTAGTTTTATTAAAAAGTTTTTTTTTTTTTTAAACAAACAATTTTTAAATCAATTTAGTATTTCTATTGTTTTATAACGATGATTTAGCAAGATCTTATCTATTATTATAAATCCATTGCTAGCATTTTTTAAGCACAGAATATTTCTTTTTTTTTTTAAATCAAAAAAAAAAAAAAAAAAAAAAAAAAAAAAAAAAAAAAAACAAACAAAAAAACAAACTAACATTGATTTATCATAATAATTTACATGTGTTATATAATATATGGCTCGTGAATGCAGAGGGGTCAGATTTCAAGAATATTTAGTGTTAAGGTGTGGGGCGTGGCCCTTTCCTCCTGTGGTGATAGTAGTGATGTCATCCTGGGGGTCTGCATGCGCTGTGGGGAGGTATCTGACTCCCTCGGTACTGGACCTTGGTGTAGCAGTACTCATGCTATCCAGGTTCGTTAGGTTCAATATTCTTTTAGTCTGATGTCGCTGTATTCATTCTTTTATCAATCGTTCATATATTTTCTGTTGTAAAGTATGACAACAAAACAATGAAAATCATCAATATGCATTTAAAGTAGCTTTTAATATTTATTTATGAGTTTATGTTAAAAGGCACATTATTTCTTACACATTTATATATTGAAGACAATTTTAATGTATGACAATAATATTGTAAAGTGAGTTTTAAGGATCTTTAAGTTATATTGTATTAATATGTAAAAATAATTCCATAATTTATACTTTTAATTAGTTAATGCAAAATATTTTTAATGTTCATAATCCTGTTCATTTATATTGTTTTAGACATATATGATTGATGTAAAGCGCCTTTGAACATTTTAATGAAAAGGGCGCTATATAAATGTGGTATTTATTATTATTATTATTTAATCTCATTTGTTACAAAAGAAAGCTAAGTTATGGAAAGTTATATTTGAAACTGTTCTACATGAGAACAACCTAACTATAGAGACATCATTTTTTTATTTTTAAATTTAACTTTGTTATACCCTTAATTTCTTGTAAAAGTTTTACAATAAAACAGGCGCAACCGGGTTTTCTAAATTTTTGAAAACTAAAACTTAAAATTTTTTGTTTTTTTGGGAAAATTTAAAGGCCCGAAAATTTAAAAATTTTAATTTAACATAAAAATTTTGGCTAAAAGGTTCCAAAAAAATTTTTTATTTTTTTTTATACAGTCCCAAAATTTTATACCTTTTACTTCCAAAAAAGTTTTTGGGATTTACCCATCAAACCCTGGGGGTCGAAAAATATTAACATTTCCTTTTTATTTCCCTTTTTTTTGGGACCAATTTGTTTTTTTTTTTAAAGTTGTGTCCCTTTTGAGAAATATTGTCTCCGATTAAATAAGATTTATCTTTGAATTCAAGACAAACAACACAAATACCTAATACAACTTTGTGACAGACAATTTTTGTATAATACAACTTTATGGCAGTCAATATTAGTACTAGTCAACAGGTCAAAATATTGTAGATCACTAATTTAGCTACAGTAGATATGTAAGTTTATAATGTTATGTTATTACACACTATAATTTTCTAATTAAGTATTAACCATGTTAAATAGGTTTTGAAAATAAGATGAATTTCATTATTTACATTTTGTAAATGTGCACATACTTTTATACTAAGGTTTGTCTTAATCATTTAATCGTGCTCCTGTTGTGTATTCATTTATATGCAAGTAAATTTACATGGTTAAGTAGTTACTCTCAAATATGGTAAGAACCAATTCAGTGTGTTTACTATTAAACTCGCTGATTAAAAAGTGGAAGGTGTCGTATAAATCATGCTCAAATAATTACGATGCTGTAGATGTACATCGGTGACTGCATATCATGTCACATAAATGTGTTTATTGCAGTTAATTTTCTGCATTAAATTTTAATGGTTAACAGATATGCCCGAAGGCGAGGATTAAATTTATTGTGCAAAGTAAAGATTTATACATGCTGTAAGTAAAAAAGCGGGGCGAAGATGAATTCGCATTACTGTAATGACATGAATTACGGTAATGATGGAGTGAAATGGAACAAAATGGTTAAGTAAAAGATAGTGTGAAGAGGAACATATATATCATAATGCACAATTTGGTTTACATGATAATCGGTCTACAGCAGAGACCATTTCACTGCTACATATTATTATTCAAATTTCTTTTATACCAATTTCCTTTTTAAAATCCATCCAGGAAGGACAGAGTTTCATCAATGCACTTTTTTCAAAAATTCACATTATAACTTTGAACATACAAGTAATTACAAGTAAGACCTTGACCTATGAGCTGGATATCTTAGTCTTGCTTGTGAATATTCTTAATTATGTTAAACAGCCATTTACGATAAGTAATTTTAAAATCCACCCAAGCATGATAGAATTATTGACTGAACACAACCATCAATGCATTAGATAAAAACTTAGTATCATAACATCGGAGTACAAGTGTGCCCTTGACCTCTGACTGAAAAGCTGATTCTTGCGCATGACACATTTTTATCATGACCTACACATTTATGCATAATGTATTTTGATTTCCACCAAGGAATAACAGACTTGTTGACCAGACAAGGACATCATTGTACTTTCAAGAAAAATGTCCTTAAAGTCAATCATGACCTTGACATTTGTACAACAGACCTGTGTCTTGGCCATAACACATCCTTTCAATGTGATATCCATTGATATAGAATTAAACTTTTAAAATCAATCTATAAATGACAAAGTTACTGACCAACAGGAAGGATATACTGTATGAGAGAACGGGAGAACACATCCCTACCCACATAAAATGTAGGTCACTGGGTCAAATTACAGTCAGTTGATATAAAAATTAATTCACTGGCATTTTGAAATGTGCATTTGTTAAAAATTTCAGGGTTGTAGCTAAACAATGTGATGTCAAATGTCTAAACTCTAGCAATTTTTACTATATACATGTATGAAAAACCAATGACTAAGTCTAGCCTTTGCAGTATCAAACAAGAATATAGCTTTTACTTTATACATGTAAGGAAAACAATGACCC